TTGACTACATTGTTTTTCCCAACTTATATCACTAATAAAAATACATCCAGGAACAAAATTCTTTTTGTTATTTCATAGAATACTCCTTAATATGGGCTACAGTGGACAAGCAGTATTTTTAAATTGATTTAATACTTAGTAAAAACAAAATTATTTTGATAGCCAATATGTTTCCATAAAAAATTACATATGCTCATTGGTAAACGGACAGAAAGTCACAGGACATAAAGTCACAAATTTGATAGGACAAAAAGTAACAGGACAAATTGAAAAAGTCACAAATAATGTGTTGACAATTGTTCGAATATATAAGAGAAAGATCTTACAATATTTCCTAGGATTTTTCAGTATACGGATATGGATAGTAAACTGCACATTTCTAGAAAACAAAGAAATATTGATGCCGACGTTTAAAACGTGAGTAATGTAATTCAAATAGACAGGAAATACGAAAAAAAGATTTAAAAAACAAAAATAAACAAAATTTTAATCTGCAAACCGAGTCCCTGAGGTAATTTTATAGATTTTAAAAACGAACTTAGTGTGCATTTCTTTCTAACCAAAGTTTTGTAAACGTTGTGTGCCGTTTGTTATAGATTGTTAAACGTTACAAAAGCAGTGTTTACTGACCCTGTTTGAACGGTGAAAACGCATGCACATGTTGTTGGTATTTGAACTTATTACGCGGGGAAAATAGCCTCCGTATAAGATGTTATAGACACAGAGGACATCGCTCCTCTATGCATATTTAATTTTTTTGGCAGTTCTTCATCTTCATCAGATAAATGTATGAAGATAGTGATGATAAGCCTTTTTACTGAAGATAACAGAAATGAAAGAAAGGATGGTAATACCTAAATTTTAGTAATTTTAGACATTGTTTTGAGTTATGACAAGCAAGAACATACATCTTTTTTAGTGCGGAAATTTGTTTAGGTATTGATTAAATGTTTAAGTTAGAAAGAAATTCATCGTTTGTACTAACAAACGACGAACGACAAACTATAGACGCATTTGCAGCGAGTGTATAGTTTGTCAAAGTTTATGCAAACTTTGCAAATGTATGTTAGAAACAAATGATCTAAACGTGTGCTCGCTGAACCGTTTGTATCGTTTGACTGTGTAAGAAAGAAATGCGCTCTTAGAGAGATATTCGTTATTTTCATAAAATAATGCGGGCACGTGTCAACGATTACACAACTACTCAGCCGTGAATTATACAATCAACAAAATTGATTGGATTATCCTTATTGCTTATGACTATAATGTTATGAGAACAGTGTTTTGAATAAAATAGAATTAATTATACATGTTCAACGATGTTTTTGAGTTGTTTCTGAATTGTTCCATGTTATTAATACTTTAAGGGTAGTGCGTTTTTGTGATTATGGAGAACAAAATATATGATAAATGATAGAAACAAAGAGGAAAACAGAGTCAAATTCATTTTTCAAAATTTATTTTCACATTGAAATATACTATTCATTGATTCTATAAACCCCATCAAGACCCTCACAATGTTGATTGAGCTGATGCGTACCGTTCTGTATTTTGAGGTATGAGAGATAACTAGTACTGCGTGTGAGTCCTGGAAAATAATGCGGATTGGTCTGTTGTTTCAACAGATGAATTAATCAACAACATCATGTCATTGTTTATTGAACCTGAATGACCACCTAGGGTATACATCGATATCCTGTGACACGAGTGTAATCTATTGAATAACTTATCAAATTGTACATCACTAAGTTTAAAATTACAATTAGCAGTACAATTCAACTAATTCAACATTTTGAAGTCTGATGATAACTCGACCTATCAGAATTTAAAACAAGAAACTTGATTAACGTCTCTATAGTATGCAAGAACATAAAATACCATATTGCAATTCTGACAAAAAGAAACATACTATACGAATAACAACAGCAACAAATAAAACAGATAACATAACAATTATCATAATGCATCAGTAGCAGGTATATATAACCGGGATTTTTCCAGCTATAGTAATTCAAAGACGGAATACCAATACTTTAAACTTTATTAGCAAGGTCCGGACAGTACCAGACCTAAGACCTAAACTGACTACAAAATAACATACAAAAGCATATATAGAAAACAGTTACTATAGCAAAGGATTAGTGTCCAAAGGATTAACTTGTCATCGTCAGAGTGATTTCCATTACGACAAACATATATTTAACAATAGAATTAATTAAACACAAAGAAATGTAAAAGGTTTGATAAACGGATTAATAAATTGTCACTATAGCACTTAAAATATATTGTCGGAATTAGCTTTATTTCTATTACACATGTGTCCAAATCTTCCTGGTTATATAAACACTATTATAATGAGACTACAATAAATTGCTTTTTTCTTTTAAAAACATTGAAATATAGCTGTAAATCACATGCTGATATCATGTACCATAGATTATACATCTATGCATGTACTTAGTTTTGTTTCGTTTTGTTTTCTGCTGTTTTATATATCGGAATGAAATTATTTCTAAGTACAAATATTTTTTACATACAAATAGATAGTGAAGTTAACCTCCTTTAGTGTTTCTCTATAGAATGATGATTAATTCTGTCCTCTGATAGGAAATCCGACAAGTACACTGTTTCAATTAGAAACTAGTTATTTAAGAGTATGTAAATTTATATGATTAAAAATTGGAAAAACGATTTTCTTTCTCAAATCTTGTGGAGTCCCCTGGATATCTTAAACTTTCTCCTCTTTTAACAGAACATCAAAAGCATTTTCCTCGGACAATTGTATCATTCAAGTTGTTTAATTCTTATAGAATAGCTATATATACCTTTGTAATAGCAAAAATGCGAATTTGTATAGAAAATTTTATTTTAGAAAAAAAATCAAAATCATTCGAAAAAAAAACCCGATTAATTCACTCCTCGCCATATCGATATCTCCTATACTTATGACGTACCCGTCATAGAGCACAGAAATATAAAGATTGAATTAGCAAATATTTGTCTTCATTTTTTTCTTCTTCAGTCAACGATTAGTAAGATACAAGACACAATTCAAGTTTCTTTTCCTGATTTTAAAAACAATTTTAAAGCATTCTGAATATTAATAAAGTAGATGTGAGATATTCAATGAAACAGCAATCAAGATATATAACAGATTTTCAACATTCTTCAATCATGATAAATAAAGCAGCCAAGATATTTGAGTGCACTCTTTTTTTTATTGATAAATTTTTTTGTGCTTAATTAAAGATTGTAAAGTGCCGATTTTTTTTTCTGCATAATACTTTTGATATGTTCGCAATTAAAAAAAAAACCCTTTGCCTCAGTAATTTCAAGATTTTATAGTGTATTATTTCGCCATAAATACAAATTTTATTGTCAATTTAGCGGTATTTCTAACATTGCCTATAAGAGAGAGATTTGGCTTGCCATAAAACCAGGTTCAACCCACCATTGTTAAATTGAATTGGATTCACTGTAACTCCATTTACCGGTAAATTTCATTAATCTCTTGGACAAAAAAAACCCACCTTTCTCCGACATGGATTTTTTACCTTTACAAGCTAAAAAATTACCATAGAGCAAATTACATGGATGATTAATATTGACCATTTGGTATAGGCATATGTCCGTGTTCAAAGCGATACGTACATGCAGGACATACATTATTTTGTTGAATAAAATCAAATCTACAAATGGGTGCCGTAGGAGGACCACTGGAGTTTTGAGCAAGGATTTCTTGGCATGTAACAGATCGAAAACTCGGGGTTATGATATTTCATGTATATTTTGAACACATGGAGGGTTACCCCGGCATCCTTTGCAAAAAAAAAAAAAATTCTTCTATGTGCCTTCGGACTTTATGTTTTGAATTGTAGTTCCACTTTCCATATTCGGTATTTATTCTGAGTCAAGTGCCTGTACGGAGACTCCAAGCAGGCAACACGCATGTGTATAACGGCATTGTAGATTTTCTTATAAAATAACGAGAGTTGCCGGTCCGGTACACGAATAGATCGGTTAGAAAGCTAGGTTTTAATTTTTAAATTAATTAGATTGGAAAGCTTAATTCGAGGGTTGAAAATAGAGAGCGCAAAAAAGGGGGTTGAGGGTGTTCCACAGGGAATATTTTTATTTTATAAACGCTAAATTTGAAAGGTTTATATTTTTCTATTTAATCTTTAACTAGTAATGGATGCGGTAGGAGGTCCATCGGAGTTTTGAGCAGGGATTTCTTGGCATGACAAACAATTTCAGATGTTGGTCCGAGAAGCGTGAACACACCGACCTGACCAACATAGAATTTCCGCTGACCAATGTCCTAACTGAGTGAAAGATACAAACATTTAATAAACATAAAAAGAAAACTTTAAATGTTTAACATATAAGGATTATATATTATTTTCAAAGAAAACAAATAATTGAGAAAATATTTCCAAATTTGAGAAAAAATTTCGAGTTTTATTTTAGAAAAAAACATCATATAGAAAACAAAACACAAAATGCATTTACAATCTCAAAATTTTAAGGGAGAAAAAAGAAATTGCAAAAATTTACCGGTATATTTTTAGGTTCGTTCGTTCGGGTTTTTAGTGTAACCTTCGTCAATACATGAATAACGAACCAGTGTTTTAAAAGCCTCTAAATGCACAAAAAATGTAAACAGTTGTGTTCAATTTTAATATATCTGCTTGTTATATCATTCCTTATCGTGGAAATTGTGTTGAAACTGTTTATTCGAGTATATTTGGGTATATTGGGGTAAAAAGTCATTTTGTGATCGTAAGCGGCTGACATGAACAGAACAAGTTACGAGGGAAAAAGTGATTTAAAATTAAATATATTCATAAAATAAAGTATTAATGTCGTTAAAATAACATTTAAATGCCTAGTGTAACATTGTTATTCAACCAAATTATGTTTAAACTGCTTTTTGAGGTATATTGGGGTATGTTGGGGTATATTGGGGTATATTGGGGTAAAAAGTCACGCCGGTTATTTTCTACCAATTTTGCATCACAGTTATAGATGTGGTAAGAAATATATCATTGAAGTTTGCTCTCTTTTTTTCTAAAAAACAAAACATTGGAAACATGGAAAACAAACGTTTTTGCTACCTTTCTCTTACACAATTTCGTCGTCAGGGCACAGAAAATCGATGATTTATTTAGCAAACAATTTTGTGAATTTCGCAAATTATTACTTTTCCTATATCTTTTTAAAAAGCTATCTAGTAATATTACTTGAAAAGAAGTTACATTGTTATGACAAAAGGACTTGCAGATTTGGTAAAACTAGACCAAGTGGCAAGTCTTCCCTATTTATCGTTTATAGAAATTTATGGGAAAAAAAGCAGACATTAGTTCGGTCTGAATGGTATTGTTAGGTAATCATGTATGTGTTTATTTTTTAAAATATAAATATGTATTTTATTTGACTATTCATTTAAATTGTGAGATGAGAATCAAGAAAAATTATATTGATGCACAAATAATGGGGTGCAGCCTGCAGGTTATTTCATATTCTGAATTCTGCATAACAGCAACCACATGGACAACATGACATTTTGGCAACAATTACATTCCTCAGCAAAACCTGATATAAAGAGGAAAAATTACAACAGCATTAGCATGATTAGTTATACAGAGGTTAAATAAGGAAGTACGTAACACTTGATCATGGTGATAGGATTGTGGAGACCAAATTTAAATTGGAAAGTTAGTGACACAACCAAGAAAGAGAGGAAGAGGGTGTTATAGACTGATAAATAGTGAGACTGGTCAATGTTTTTTACCTATCTTCATGACCTTTTATTTTTACATTACTCAGCTTGCTTTGAGTTGTTTTCAAGCTTGTATCATTGCATTGCAACAACAGTGTCTGCAAGATTATCAATCTTTTGGCAAAACAAGGAAAAAGAAACATTTATATATACAGTGATATATGGGAAGCAAGTTAACTCGTACCATTGTAAACTCGTACCACGTAAACTCGTACCAAAAAAGTTAACTCGTACCAACGTAAACTCGTACCACTGGGAAGTCGTACCAATCAGAACTCGTACCACTGCAAACTCGTACCATTAAAAATATATTAAAAAATACGATTGTTTTATGATTTTGTTTTGGTATCACCAGCCCAGTAGTCAGCACTTCTGTGCTGACATGAATTATCATTGATATGGTCATATTTATAAATTAACTGTTTACAAAACTTTTGCAATTTTGAAATACTAAGGCTTTTCTAGCTCAGAAATAGAATCACCTTAGCTGTATTTGGCAAAACTTTTAGGAATTTTGGTCCTCAATGCTCTTCAACTTCGTGCTTTATTTGGCTTTTTTAACTTGTTTGGATTCGAGCGTCACTGATGAGTCTTTTGTAGACGAAACGCGCGTCTGGCGTAAATACAAAATTTAATCCTGGTATCTATGATGAGTTTATTTAAAACACAATAAATAAATTCTTTCGTTAAATAAAAATTCCTTTTAGAAACAAAAGAAAAATACACAAATCTATTCAATGATACTGATTTGGAATGATTAAAAATTAAATCAAATAGTTGTCAGTAAAAGTTTAAAAAAAGAGTCTACTCAAGGGAGACAACAAAGCCAATCTGCCACGGTTTTCTCTATCCAATTAGACAAGGAAAATTAGCTACAAATTGGTCATTGTAATTTCAAATTATATACACTTTACAGATTTACGAGGTATTGAGGGAAATTAAAGTATATATTCATCATTAAACACCATTTGAATGCATTTAAATAAGTTGGTACGAGTTTACAATGGTATGAATTTACAGTGGTACGAGTTAGCAGTGGTACGAGTTTGCATTGGTACGAGTTTTTTTTTAGTGGTACGAGTTGACATTGGTACGAGTTTACAATGGTACGAGATAACTATAATTCGATATATGTCTAGCCACAACACACAGAGAAAGATGCAAAAACATGCATACCAGCTGTTATCATATTACATTTTTTGGGTTCAAATACCTTTTTTGGTCAGGTTGTAAAAGTCCAAAAACAGCTTATAGTATGTAAGGGCAAGGAAAAGCGGAAACCAAATTTGTGTCATCAACTCCCTACAGTTTCAACCAAGAATCTCTGAAACTTGCAGTTATGGAATTGTATAAGGATTTTTTCTCATTTTTCAAGACTTGAGGACTTTGTCATTTTCAGCAAAATTTAAATATTTAAGAGAAGCTGAACACTAAAAAAATGTCTAAATTTGACTTGAACTCTTTCATATTTGCAGGACTAACAGTTATGTAACATGAGACAAAAAGTCACAATTTAGGTTGAGAGAAATTTATTGTCTTTTATCAAATCTCTCATCTATATATAATGTCTATCATATGTATATTGTATTGATGTTTACTGTTTTGTACATGTAGGTATGTATGCATGATTTAAACGTTGAAGAAGAGGACGAATCAGAAGGTCATTTATTCAGTCAGTTGAATACTTTGGTAAATATTATTAATCAGAACTGTGTTTTGAGTATTGCTACACATGTGTTTGTGTTTTTACTTGTTTTGAGTAAGGTTAAATTTCATGCAAAAACACAAAATTAAACATATCCATAATAAAACAAACAAACCATTCAATTTGATGCCAGTGTTGCACACAAAAATCATCTAGTTTAAATAATTTAATCTAGCAACCTATCAATCAGTCAAGAATTTAATTGAAAAAAATATGATTAAGGACATGTATGTACATAAGTTCATACATCCCTTAAAATACTAGTGTCTATAATATACGCTTCAAATGATTGTTTTATTGGGGAAAAAATATTGGACAAAAATTATTACCCCACTCCATATATATTTTGCAATCACCTGGTCCAACCACCAAATATTTTGTCCCATTCTTTCAGAAACTACACTGTACTTAACAGATTGACTTCATTTTTAGTTTAATAACAGAGATGAATCATTTTAGCACTTTTTGGATCTGTCAGATACCTACTTCTAGTCACACAATAATTTGAATTTTTCAGTATGTTGAATGAACTTTACAATTTTTATGACACATTTCTTAAACTTGACCCTGTCTGCCAACCAACATGGCGAACATTGATAGAAATAGAACATAGTGGTAAAATGCAAGTTTTGTCTATTATCTTGAAAACTTTTATAGATAGAGAAAACCTGACAGGATCAGAAATTTTCAGAATGTTGAAAACTACTATCCATTTACAACAAAACTCGTCAGAAAACTTCTTTAACATGTACGTTGAATGGGTTACTGGCCAATTTTACCAATTTTTTTCTTTTTTGTCTATTATCTTGAAAACTAAAATACTTAGATTATTAACTTAGATAGAAACTTCAAACAGTAAAAATGACCAGCAAGACGAGATCTACAAGTATATCCATATTGCTGAAATTGCTGGTTGACTCTTTACAGGAGTTATTGTCTTTAAATAACTTTTTTTTTTCCAATTTATTGCATTTTTACCTTTTATCTGGAACACTATAAACTGTAGTCTATATTAGATAGAAATTTGAATAGCTAAAATGATCCCCATCAACAAGATAAGATCAACAAATAAGTCAGATGGTCCAAATTGTCTGTCAACTCCTTACAGGAGCTATTACCTTTAAATGACGATTTTTACCATGTATTAGCCTATTATCTTGAAAACTATAGCAAAAAGATGGAATATTTATTAGCAAAAAATTATCAGTAGGACAAGCGATATAATATCATCAGCATGGTTGAAATTGTCAGTCAACTCTTTATAGGAATTATTGCCATTTAGTGGCGATTTTTATACGACCGCGGTCGTATATTGGTATGACGTCGTCGTCCGAAGACACATTGGCTTTCGCACAATAACTTTAGTTTAAGTGAATGGATCTCTATGAAATTTTACCATAAGATTCAATACCACAAAAGGAAGATTGGAATTGATTGTGGGGGTTATGGTACCAACAGTTAAGGAATTAAGGGAAAAAGGGGGGGGTAAAAAGAAATTGTGGGGGTCAATTTTTTTCAGATTTCAGAAATTAAAAATAAAAATTCTTCAAATATTATTTTTTTGGCAAAAACAAGTGTGTGTGTGTGTGGGGGGGGGGGGGGGGAGGTTAATACGCAACAGCATGGTGTATTGCACAAAAGCAACAAAAAATGGGGGTAAATTTTTTATTTTCTTTTGGCTGGGGAGGGGGGGTCAATTCACAACAGCAAAGTGTATTGCACAAAAGCAAAAAATTGAATATGAATTCAAATCATATAACCAATTCTAAGTTCTTTGACTACAGTTATTCTGTGTCAGAAACCTTTTATGTGTCAAATATTTAATTACAATCCAAATTCAGACCTGTATCAAGCGCGAATATTGCATCCATTTTTGCCCCAACTGTTCAGGGTTGGACCTCTGCGGTCATATCCAGCTGCACTCGGCGAAGCAATTTATTACCAATATTTTTCATTTGTAGTGAAAACTTTGTAGGTAAAGAACTGTAAACACCAAAAATGGTCAACGTAGTTGGTCAACTCTTTATATAAAACTGTATTATGAATTATATTCTAGTCTAAAATGATGGAGAGTGGCCAATGTTAAAGATGTCCTTAGTTCCAGGTGAGCGAGTTTTTTTCAGATTAAATAGATTGTCTCATGGAAGTAGCATTATAACACATTTTTCTTGGAACTTGAATATTTTAAGTCAATTTCTGAATATTTTTTGCATAACATTTTCTTCTTTCAGCACATTCAAGAAGGATCAACTTGTCACACACACTGTGTAAATGTAAATTATTTTAATATGCCTATAAGAAGAAAAAGATCCTCACCTACTTTTGATGACCCCAGATCAAAGAAAGCTAAAGTTTCATCTTCTTGGTAAGAATTTAATTTTTACTGATTTCAAAGGATGAATTTCATTGTTGGTGAAACTACAGTATGAACAAGGCCAGTGGTCAGTATGTTAGATTGTCCAGGTCTAGAGAAAAATTTGGTCTGACAAGTAAATGCCAAGATACACATGCCCGAAGGAACAATTGAAATCAATCCTGATCATAAAAGACTGTTACATCAAACGCTTCTAATTTTTAGTAAAATAAATTTGTAACACCATGAAAGCATGAAAAAAAATGATATTCAATTAATGTTTGACATGTTTCAAGTAGTTTAAACATCCTTTTCACTTTTAAATCTTTAGTCAAAAGTTTATCTTTTGACAGATGCAGGAAAAAGGCATTCCGTTAACATTGGCTTAATGTATGAATGTTATTGAATTTCTTAGTATAATGGACATTATCATACAATGTACGTAAAGTGGTGTTTGAATGAAAAACTATTTTGTTAATGAGCCCAAAATAGTTTATTATAAATATAGTAGGAAAGTTTTACTGTAGAATGAACATTAAAGATGTAAATGAATATTTTTATTTACTAAATAGGAGCAGACGTGACCAAAGAGTCCAGGATACAGATAATATGTTCAGTACTAAAAGATGTATAGCATGGTTCCATGAATATACAAGTAAGATTTGTTTTCATTCACAGATAATCTATCTGAATGCACATAAAATGTGTAGAATATAAGTTTGCTTGGCTTGTAGGTGAACACAAATTTAGCTACTGTACATATACAAACAAACTAGTCAGTCATCTGCATGATTAGGAAGGCAATTAATTACATTGTTATTCCTTCAGTAGGTTGCAAACCTATGTGATTTTAAATGTAGATTTCATGGTCCACCTATTTGCAGCACACACGCAAACTAAGTTTCATGAAATAAGATGTGGTATGATTGCCAATGAGACAACTCTCCACCGGAGACCAAATGACATAGAAGTTAACAGCTATAGGTCACAGTACGGCCTTCAACAATGAGCAAAACCCAAACCGCATAGTCAGCTATAAAAGGCCCTGAAATGACATTTGTAAAACATTTCAAACGAGAAAACTAACAGCCAAATTTATGTACAAAACAAAGAATGAAAAACAAATATGATACAATGTATACAGCAACAAACAACAACCACTGAATTACAGGAACCTGACTTTGGACAGGCACATACAAAATGTGGCATGGTTGAAAATGTTTGTGGGTGCCCAACCCTCCCCTAACCAGGGACAGTGGTGAAACAGCACAACATATGAACAATTAACACATTTAAATAGATATGATGAAATGTAAACTCTGATAAGCCAAGCCTACACCAAGATTTTTATATATGATGTAGTGTTCATGATTTTGTCAAAATTCCTATAGTTATATATGAGTAGGCATCAAAGAGACAACAACAAAACTACACTTATGACCATGATGACACTAATAAAGAAAATCAACGAGAGTTCAGAAGTTGATAAGCATCTATATAACCAGCACTAAATCACCCCGAGTGCAGAAAAGGAATGAGAAGAAATGCTCATTCATCATTAAATTCTATATTTTTAGCTCACGGGGGCCCAAAGGGCCCCATGTGAGCTTATGCCATCACTTGGCGTCCTCGTCGTCCGATGCTGTCGTCGTAAACTATTTCAAAAATCTTCTTCTCTGAAACTACTGGGCCAAATACTTTCAAACTTTAACTAAATGTTCCTTAGGGTATCTTGTTTATAAATTGTATCCGAAGTTTGTATCCATCGACAAACATGACTGCCATGGCTAAAAATAGAACATAAGGGTCAAATATAGTTTTTGGCTTATATCTCAAAAACTAAATCTTTTAGAGCAAATGTGACATGGGGTAAAATTGTTGAATTGGTCAAGATCTATCGGCCCTGAAATTATCAGACGAATCGAACAACCCATTGTTGGGTTGCTGCCACCGAATTGGTAGTTTTTAACAAAATTTTGCAGTTTTTTGTTATTATTTTGAATATTATTATAGATATATATAAACTGTAAGCAGCAATAATGTTCAGCAAAGTAAGATCTACAAAAAAGTTTATCTGACCAAAATTGTCAATTTACCCCTTAAGGAGTTATTGCCCTTTAAAGACAATTTTACACAATTTGTTCATCAAGTTTGCCAACATTTAAAAATCTTCTCCTCTGAAATACAGGTGAGTGATTCAGGCTCTTGAGAGCCTCTTGTTTGTCTTTAAATAAGTTAGATGCAAAATAAAATACTTCACAGTTATTTAGTAAGCTGAATTCTTCATTATTAACAAATCATGTGTTCTTTTTACTTTTAAATATTTTTGTTAATACTCTGGAAACACTTTTTCTGAAACATTCACTCCCAAAACCCTATCAACTTATTTTTTAACTATATAAAAACTGAATATGATATCTGTTAGGCATTGGTTGTGAAGTAACATACTATTATATATACATGTAAGCAAGTGTCTAGTGACATTTATTTACATCAGGTTCACATCTGTCCTTTGTTCTTTAAATAGTCTGGCTCAAATATAATGATTTGAACTTTTAAAAATGTATGCCAAACTAGGGGAATTGACCCATATTATTAAGGTTGACTGGGTATGTAAATGTAAGTTGTGAGCGGGGCATGGTGTCATATGGTATGCACGGACACATATACTTATTCATTTAGTTCTACCAATAATAAGCATATAATTGTCAGGTGCTTAAATGATTTTTATTTTTATTTTTTGAGTGTTTTAGTTGATTAATGAGTTATAAGAAATTTGTATAATCATTCTTAAATTTATAGGTGATGATGAAGATACCTTGGGTCCAGAAGGAATGGAAAAGTTTTGTGAAGACATTGGTGTAGAACCAGAAAATGTTAGTACTTGAACATTTTTTGATAAGAATAATAAAAAAGATAAGGAGATGGGATATTATCTTAATGAAACTACTATCCATCTAAGACCAAAAATTATTGATAAGAGTCTACTTCATCAAAATCTGAATGAGTAAAGACCAGATATGAATTTCTTATAAATAGACATATCAGGAGTTACAAGTACTCTAGACTTTGCATACTCATACGACATGTACAACTGAAGCTCTTTAAAGAAAAGTTTGAATTTCATAAGCAAACAAATTAAGGTTAACTTTATTTAAATACTTCATTATATTATATTATTACACCCCACTGTGAAAGTGGGGCTATATTGCATTCACCCTTTTCATCAATTTATCCAACAAATATTTCTGTCACATTTTTCTCAGGTACTATTGAACAGAATGAATGACTTTATACTTGGTCAGCACATTTTTCGAATCTGTCAGACACCTACTTTCTGTTTGTTGATACTTTGAATTCTTCAATATGTGGTACATTTTTGTCACACTTCTCTCAACTGCTACAGAATAAAGTAACTTTAACTTAGTAAGCAGCTTAACAGTGACAAGTTGTAACGTGTGAGTTATTTTGGGATCTGTTACAACTATTTTTCTTTTTTTTTTATACTTTGAATTACGAGTGGGGGTATACTTAGCAAGACAACACATGCATTCTTGTTTTTTGATTACTGTCAACTATCAGAATAATATATTGATTTGGTTGTATAAAAGTTACGATAGATAAACATAAAAATAATAGAAAATTGATTTGACACAATGTTTGAGGTGTGTCTTTATATTTTCAGATTGTTATGTTGGTTTTAGCATGGAAATTAGAAGCCAAATCAATGGGTTTCTTCACTAAGGCAGAATGGTTAAAGGGAATGACAGACTTACAGTAAGATTAAAAGGAACTGGCTGAAAAAGATTTTTGTCGAGCCTGCGACTTTTGTCGCAAAAGCGAGACATAGCGATCCTACATTCCGTCGGCTGCGGCGTCCACAAATATTCACTCTGTGGTTAAAGTTTTTAATTTTAATAACTTTCTTAAACTATCATGGATTTCTACCAAACTTGGACAGAGGCTTGTTTATGATCATAAGATAGTATCCAGAAGTAAATTTTGTTAAAAAAAATCCTGTTTATCCGTATTTTACTCATAAATGGACTTAGTTTTTCTGCCAGTTAACATTACATTCACTCTGTGGTCAAAGTTTTTCAAATTTTAATAACTTTCTTAAACTATCCTGGATTTGTACCATACTTGGACAGAAGCTTGTTGATGATCATAATATAGTATTCAAAAGTTAATTTTGTTAAAAAAAAATTCTGTTTTTCCGTATTTTACTCATAAATGGACTTAGTTTTTCTTCCAGTTAACATTACATACAGTCTGCAGTTAAAGTTTTTAAAACATTTATTAGATTCATAAACCATCCAGGATTCTTACCAAACTTGAACAGAAGCTTCTTACATTCAAAAGATAGTATCTAGAGGAAAATTTTTATAATTATTTCCCCATTTTTGTTGAGCCTGCGACTAACAGCAAAAGGAGGCGTGACACTGGGTTCTGTGGAACCCTTACGAATTTTTCAGACTTAAACCACATCTTTTTATCATTATATATTGCCATTCTTTTAGAAATGCATTGCAGATTGATATGGCATCTAGTATCTAGAAAATAGAGGGGCAGTGAGCAATTTTTATGCCCCCGCCGTAGCGGAGGGGGCATTAAGTTTTACCCTTGTCCGTCTGTACGTACGTACGTACGTACGTACGTCCGTACGTCCCAAAATTGGTTTCTGTTCTCTAACTTCAGTTTGCCTCAACCAAATGTTATGAAACTTATACACAATGCTTATTACCACAAAACACAGATCAAGTTTGAATTTTGGTGGCGTCACTTTAACCGATCTAGAGTTATGCCCCTTTATAAAAGGAAATATTGCAAAATTTTTAGTTTCCGTTCTCTAACTTAAGTTTGCCTCAACCAAATGTTATGAAACTTATACACAATGCTTATTACCACAAAACACAGATCAAGTTTGAATTTTGGTGGTGTCACTTTAACCGATCTAGAGTTATGCCCCTTTATAAAAGGAAAAATTGCAAAATTTTTATTTTCTTCTAAATATCAAGTTTATATAATATATTTTTAAAATTGGAGTTATCTTCCTTTGACCATGATTATAGTTGAATCAACTACAATCATTGCTTTATACAATGCAATGTTTAATTTTGACTTCCACTGATAAAACACAGATCAAGTTGAATTTGGGTAGTGTCACTTTAACCATTATTGAGTTATGCCCCTTTATAAATAAAAAGATTGCAAAATTTTTTAGTTTCCATTCTGTAACTGAAGTTTTTCCCAGCCAAACATTATGAAACCTATACACAATATTCATTACCACAAAACTCAGTAAGGATCAAGTACAATTTTTTTGTTTCAGTTCTCTAACTTGAGTTTGCCTCAACCAAATGTTATGAAACTTATACACAATGCTTATTACTACATAATACAGATTAAGTACGAAATTAGGTGGCAACACTTTTACCATTCTAGAGTTATGTCCCTTTATAAACATAAAAATTGCTGAATTTTTTAGTTTGTCTCAACCAAATGTTGTAAAACTTATACACAACCGTTCTAGAGTTATGCGTGTTTACAAATAGAATTTGCTGAATTTTTAGTTTCTGTTCTCTACTTAAGTTAGCCTCAACCAAATGTTACGAGACTTACACACAATGCTTATTACCACAAAACTCAGATCAAGTTCAAATTTGGGTAGCGTCACTTTTACCGTTCTTCAGTTATGTCCCTTTATAACTATATGATATGCAAGCGGGGGCATCATCTGTGTCCACATGTGGACACTATCCACATTTATTTTTTATATACTAAATGAATTTGATGCTGTGAAAAACATATTTGGTTGTCCAACAATGAAATTTACAATAACTAACATTCCAAGGTAACCTTGTTTGTCATTTATACACATATCACTTAAATTGTAGTGTTTTTATATGTGTGTTGCAGTAAATGTAGAGACCCTCCTGTTTTGAGCAAGTTTAAAATTAATCAGAGCTTCTAAGAAATTGCTTATTCTTCAATAGAGAAATATGCAACACCTTCAAATTTAAAACAGTCTTCTATATTTAAATGCCTTCGATATTACTTTCAGCTTTTTTGCTTTGAGTCTTAAGATTTCAAGTGTTGTCAAAAATCCATGTTCAAACTAGAACAACTTCTTTTATTGAATCAGGCAATTACTCGACATGTAAACAATATCTGTTTCCCACTTCCTGTTAGACACTACAACATCATGAACACTGAACCTCAATTTTCAATAGTGGCTTGGATCGTATTTTCGGCTGACTTTTTGCAAAACAACACAGCAATTGCATTCGTAGTCTGCATAAGTAGTGTAGCGCTTAGCCCTGCACTTGCATTTTGCTTAGCCCTGCACTTGCATTTTGTCAAACAAAGTCAACATTATTGATTGAGTTCATTATTTTGAGTTGCAACACAAAAATTTTGATTTATTCGCACCAGAAATATTTGTTTAAAACTAGCACATGGAAACAGGTCTGGCAAAAATATTTTCAAGGGAAAATAAAAAAAAAACAAAATTGAAAAATTGTGAGCAGCAACTCTGTAGAACAATTAATTTGATGTGGCCTGGGTATAGATTTGTTTATGATTTTGTGAACCTATCTGCAGATGTTTTTATGATATGAGAATGAAATATGAATAAAAGTTGTACATAATGACGCAGCAACCAAACTACAAAAAAATGTCAAACAGACATCTAGCATGATTGTTACCTTGAAAGAATCTTAATTTATCTGGGAATACAGAATGACTATTACTTTTTAGCTCACCGTTCCGAAGGAACTGTGAGCTTTAGCCATCACTTGTCGTCGTCATCCGTCTGGTGTAAACTATTTCAAACATCTTCTCCTCTAAAACTACTGAACCAATTCCAACCAAACTTAAGCTGAATGATCCTTAGGGTATCTAGAATAAAGTTTGTGTTTTATTTTCTTTTTCGTCAAAAAACATGGCCACCATGGCTCAAAATAGAACATAGGGGTAAAATGCTGTTTTTGGCTTATATCTAAAAAACCAAAGCAGTTAGAGCAAATCTGACATAGGGTAAAAGTGTTCATTAGGTAAAGTTCTATCAGCCCTGAAATTTTCAGATGAATCTAATAACCCATTGTTGGGTTGCTGCCACTAAATTGGTAATTTTCTTGTACTATGGCTAAAATGGAACATAGGGGTAAAATGTATTTCTTTGCTTTTGAAGAAAATATGACAGATACAAAGAGCATCTCAATGGAATTTTTAAGCCACTCATTGATATATATTTAAAAGCAAAAATAATCATTGATGAAAGATTTAAGCAAAAAATTCCAGGTGAGCGATTTGTGAGAGCCTTTTGTTTTTTAACAAGAACATTGGTACATTTGTCTCAAGGAGATGATTTGCTGTTAAATTAAGGAATAACAGTTAACAGTGGAGCCAGTAAAACAGATATTTGCAACTGTCAAATCCAGACTTGACAGTTGCAACTCTTCAAATACAGTACTGTTATTCTTATTCTAATGCAATACTCTTAAAATGCGAAAAAAATAAACATTTTAAATATTCTGTAAACATCAACTGCAAATTGCCAATAGCTCAGACTGTTAATCATGGAATTGATGGCAGACATCATCCAATAAGAATTGGTGTTACATGTCTACTTGCATTAGAATTGCTGATTACTGTAATGATTTATTTGATTGTAGGTGTGATTCTGTGAGAAAACTACAGTTAAGATTAGACTACCTCAGAACATTATTGGATGATCCAGCTACTTTTAAAAATATTTACAGATTTGCATTTGATTTTGCAAGAGTACGTATTAATTTTAATTATCATGAACTTTGTATCAAATGTTTAAAATAATATACTTTAATTATGTAAAATATTGATAGAAATTCCACTTGACTATATTTTAGACAGCTGCATAAGCTAAACACAGAATGCGCACAAAATGAGACTTATGTTCAGTGAATCATTGTAAAACGGGTTGATTGATGGTGATTTGGAGTGCTAACACTCTGATATACAACCATGTTGTGTATACGTATGAAATATATAGAACTAGATGTGTAGGAACAACACAGATGGCCCCGCTAGCAAAAAAAGCTTGAAACCTATTTAAGAAGTGGAAATTTGAGAATGAAAGTCTGTATAATTGTTATTTTCACAAAATTTTCAGTCCAAAGCCTGAAATTTGGCAAAAATCAGCTGAGCAGAACAAACATAAACTTGACCTGTAACTCATCATAGTAGACTCACATACTAAAAATCAGCTCAATATGTGAAGAAAAAAGTCTATATAACTGTTCTTGCAGAAAGACAGATAAGGGTAACACTATATGGCCCTTACCACTTTGTGGCGGGGCCTTTAACAAATATAACTCACAGTGTATCACTAACAATCACCACAAAGGTTTTTTAGGCTTTTAGCTTAGATGTTTTGAAAAGTGATAATTTCCAAATAACTTTAAAAATAAACTCAACTATACCTGGCCCACCAGACATGCATTTCATCTACATCAGCCTCATCAGTGGTGTTCTAATCCATACAGTGGGAAGACCAGGTCAAATAAGAAGAATAAGAAAAGCATTATAAACCAAAAATATTCTATGAAATAATTTCTGTAATCCATGTGTCAGTAGACAGCTATTGTTGCAAAAGTACAGCATGCTGTTAGCTATCCTATTGAGATGAGTTTGATAAATGCTGTTTTATATTCCAGGATAAAGACCAACGAAGTATGGATATAGAAACAGCCAAAGCTATGTTAGCATTAGTATTAGGTAAACATTGGCCGTTGTTTGGATCGTTCCATCAATTTTTAGAGGTAATAAATTTTCTCACTTTTGTTATACTCATGATACTCTTGTTGTTTTACAAATGAATTGCCCATTAAAACTGGTCTCAAGAACAACCCCTCTTGCCTCTTAACACTTGCCCTACATGTTGATGTCTTTAATTTTTATACGACTGCAAAAATTTTTTATGTCCGTATATTGGTATCCTGTCGTTGTCCGAAGACACTTGGTTTCCGGACAATTTCTTTAGTATTATTGAATAGAAATCTATGAAATTTAAACACAAGGTTTATAACCACAAAAGGAAGGTTGGGATTGATTTTGGGGGTTATGGTCCTTACAGTTTAGGAATTAGGGGCCAAAAAAGGGGCCCAAATAAGCAGTTTTCTAGTTTTCAGACAATAACTTGTGAAACGGTGTATGGATCTCTCTGAAATTGTACAACAAGTTTCCATACCACAAAGGGATGGTTGGAATTGGCTTTGGGGGGTAATGGCTCAAACCATTTAGGAATTGGGGGCAAAAAAAAAGGGTTTCCTTGTTAATGGACAATCACTTTTAAGCACAATGTTAAATTTGGATTACCTCCCTTACACTGCTTTAAATTATGTATAAAGAAATTTTGTTTTGTCTTGTGGTAAATAACTGTCAATTTATTTTTAGAAGTTACTAAAAAAAAAATGCTGATTGAAGATATATCATTTTTTAGACATGATTATGTATGTCATTTTCTATTTTAAGACTTTTATGATATATTTAAATGGGTAATTATGGTTGCAAACTCCATTGGAAATTTGAATTGAGATAATGACCATATCTTGAGGGAAAGATTTATTTTTTGGAAAAAGGGGAGGGGGGAGGTGAAAAAAAAATTGGGGGGGGGGACAATTTTTTTTTCTCATTACAGATTTCAGAAATTAAAAAGAAAATTTTTTAGCCAAAAAAAAAGGGGGTTGAAATTTTTTTTTGGGGTGGGGAAGGGGGGGGTCAATTCGCAACAACATAGTGTATTGCACAAAAGCAAAAAAACAAGGGGGGGGGGGGGGGGTCAATTTGCAACAGCATAGTGTATTGCACAAAAGCAAAAAATTGAATATAAATTCAAATCATATAACCAAATCTAAGTTCTTTGACTACAGTTATTCTGTGTCAGAAACCTATTATGTGTCAAACATTTAATTTCAATCCAAATTCAGACCTGTATCAAGCACGAATATTGTGTCCATTTTTGCCCGAACTGTTCAGGGCTGGACCTTTGCGGTCGTATCCAGCTGCGCTCGGCAAAGCATTTTATTTTTATTTACATGAATTGTGAAGAGGAAGGTTGTTCATTAAAGACAACACTTAAGACTAAACAGATTCTACAGTATAAGATCTTAACAAATTTAGTAAAAACCATTGTTAATGAGGTCAACACCAACTTAATTAGTATGATATAGCATGATATAAGTTCAATGCTCTATAACATTTCAATCAATTTTTATGGTAATTTTGAATATTTTTTAGATGTCGTCCTCTTTCTTGTCCTATTTACAAAAGAAGATATTTGTGAAAGAGCAACCCAACAACTCATGGCAACCAGAAAATAACATCTTTTTCTTGTTCCTAACTTCACAGACTTGTTTCAGTTTTACCATAGAATTGCCATAAGTCTGCACTTTAGGACAAAATAGGTTAAGCAGTTTTCCTTTATTCTTACTTGAAAAATCTGTTAGTGATGCTGGGATTTTTTCATAAACATTCAAAGAAGATAAAGTTTCTAGAGTTTCTTCAGAAGTGGATTAAAGAGGTGTTCTTGGAAAAATGTAACTAAATTTTCCCATAGAAACAATTACCATTGTCCTGTTTTCTTTAACAAGATATAATTTGAAGATTTACGATTGAATTTCAACATCCAACTTTAAAAGAAATAATCATACTTTCATCTTTCAGCAATCGAAATATAAAGTAATAAATAAAGACCAATGGTGCAATATACTAGAGTTCAGTCGACTTGTTAATGTTGATTTATCGAATTACGATGAAGATGGAGCATGTAAGTAGTACTGATTTACTTACAGATTGATTTATTGGGTAGAATCTAATTTTGTGGACCTAGTTTAACTCAGGAAATAATGAACTATTTGAATTGTAGATTTTCTAGATTAGTAAAAAAAAAATGTATGCCCCCGCCGTCAATGGAGGGGACATTAAGTTTTAACCTTGTCCGTCCGTCTGTTCGTCCCAAAATTGGTTTGCATTCTCTAACTAGTTTGTGTCAACAAAATGTTAGGAAACTTGTACACAATGCTTATTTCCACAAAAAACAGATCAAGTTCGAATTGGGTGGGGTCACTTTTATCGTTATGCCCCTTTATAATGTTATATGCAAGCAGGGGCATCATCTGTGTCCCATGGACACTTTCTCCATTTATTTTCTTCTTTTTTTTACAAAAGCAATAAGCTAAGGCTTTGTCATCCTCTTTTAAAGCTTAAGAACCTGCCAATATGTAATGAGGAGCAAAAAAAAGTAGATCTTGAAAGTCATTCAGACTAGAATTCCAAGTGTTTTTAATTACCTGAAGTTCTCAAGTTTTTTTGATAACTATTGGACACGATACAATACTTTCTGTTGTAATCAAAAGCCCCTTTGCTTCTATGTTGTGCAGTCTCTTTACAAGTTTTATAAAGCAAGACATGGATTGTAGTAGCTAATGAAACACTTCTTTCACACACAGCAGTGGCTAAAATATGTATCAATGGAAGATTTAACCGTTCCCTTGTTAAGTAGCTACTTTTTTAAGGTTCTTTCAATGGTGCTGGTATGCACTCCTTTATCTGGATCAACAGTTGTTAACCTTTTAATGGTGCTGGTCTGCACTCCTTTATCTGGATCCACAGATGTAAACCTTTCAATGGTGCTGGTATGCACTCCTTTATCTGGATCAACAGTTGTTAACCTTTCAATGGTGCTGGTATGCACTCCTTTATCTGGATCTAGTTGTTAACCTTTCAATGGTGCTGGTTTGTACTCCTTTATCTGGATCCACAGTTGTTAACCTTTCAATGGTACTTGTATGCACTCTTTAATCTGGATCCACAGTTGTTAACCTTTCAATGGTGCTGGTATGCACTCCTTTATCTGGATCCACATTTGTTAACCTTTCAATGGTGCTGGTCTGCACTCTTTTATCTGGATCTACAGTTGTTAACCTTTCAATGGTGCTGGTATGCACTCCTTTATCTGAATCTATAGTTGTTAACCTTTCAATGGTGCTGGTCTGCACTCTTTTATCTGGATCCATAGTTGTCAACCTTTCAATGGTGCTGGTATGCACTCCTTTATCTGGATCCACAGACGTTAACCTTTCAATGGTGCTGGTATGCACTCTTTTATCTGGATCAACATTTGTTAACCTTTCAATGATGCTGGTCTGCACTCTTTTATCTGGATCTACAGTTGTTAACCTTTCAATGGTGCTGGTATGCACTCCTTTATCTGGATCTACAGTTGTTAACCTTTCAATGGTGCTGGTCTGCACTCTTTTATCTGGATCCATAGTTGTCAACCTTTCAATGGTGCTGGTATGCACTCCTTTATCTGGATCCACAGATGTTAACCTTTCAATGGTGCTGGTATGCACTCCTTTATCTGGATTCACAGTTGCTAACCTTTCAATGGTGCTGGTCTGCACTCCTTTATCTAGATCCACAGAATACAGTTGTTAACCTTTCAATGGTGCTGGTATGCACTCCTTTATCTGGATCCACAAATGTTAAGCTTTCAATGATGCTGGTATGCACTCCTTTATCTGGACCCACAGTTGTTAACCTTTCAATGGTGTTGGTCTGCACTCCTGTATCTGGATTCACAGATGTTAACCTTTCAATGGTGCTGGTATGCACTCCATTATCTGGATCTACAGTTGTTAACCTTTCAATGGTGCTGGTATGCACTCCTTTATCTGGATCCACAGATGTTAACCTTTCAATGATGCTGGTATGCATTCCTTTATCTGAATCCACAGTTGTTAACCTTTCAATGGTGCTGGTCTGCACTCCTTTATCTGGATCCATAGATGTTAACCTTCCAATGGTGCTGGTATGCACTCCTTTATCTTGACCCACAGTTGTTAACCTTTCAATGGTGTTGGTCTGCACTCCTTTATCTGGATCCACAGATGTTAACCTTTCAATGGTGCTGGTATGCACTCCATTATCTGGATCTACAGTTGTTAACCTTTCAATGGTGCTGGTATGCACTCCTTTATCTGGATCCACAGATGTTAACCTTTCAATGATGCTGGTATGCATTCCTTTATCTGAATCCACAGTTGTTAACCTTTCAATGGTGCTGGTCTGCACTCCTTTATCTGGATCCATAGATGTTAACCTTCCAATGGTGCTGGTATGCACTCCTTTATCTGGATCTACAGTTGTTAACCTTTCAATGGTGCTGGTATGCACTGCTTTATCTGGATCTACAGTTGTTAACCTTTCAATGGTGCTGGTCTGCACTCTTTTATCTGGATCTACAGTTGTTAACCTTTTAATGGTACTGGTTTGCACTCCTTTATCTGGATCCACAGATGTTAACCTTTCAATGGTGCTGGTCTGCACTCCTTTATCTGGATCCACAGTTGTTAACCTTTCAATGGTGCTGGTATGCACTCCTTTATCTGGATCTCGTTGTTAACCTTTCAATGGTGCTGATTTGCACTCCTTTATTTGGATCTACAGTTGTTAACCTTTCAATGGTGCTGGTCTGCACTCTTTTATCTGGATCCATAGTTGTCAACCTTTCAATGGTGCTGGTATGCACTCCTTTATCTGGATCCACAGATGTTAACCTTTCAATGGTGCTGGTATGCACTCCTTTATCTGGATTCACAGTTGCTAACCTTTCAATGGTGCTGGTCTGCACTCCTTTATCTAGATCCACAGAATACAGTTGTTAACCTTTCAATGGTGCTGGTATGCACTCCTTTATCTGGATCTACAGTTGTTAACCTTTCAATGGTGTTGGTATGCACTCCTTTATCTGGATCTACAGTTGTTAACCTTTCAATGGTGCTGGTCTGCACTCTTTTATCTGGATCTACAGTTGTTAACCTTTTAATGGTGCTGGTTTGCACTCCTTTATCTGGATCCACAGCTGTTAACCTTTCAATGGTGCTGGTATGCACTCCTTTATCTGGATCAACAGTTGTTAACCTTTCAATGGTGCTGGTATGCACTCCATTATCTGGATCTACAGTTGTTAACCTTTCAATGGTGCTGGTATGCACTCCTTTATCTGGATCCACAGATGTTAACCTTTCAATGGTGCTGGTATGCATTCCTTTATCTGAATCCACAGTTGTTAACCTTTCAATGGTGCTGGTATGCACTCCTTTATCTGGATCAACAGTTGTTAACCTTTCAATGGTGCTGGTATGCACTCCATTATCTGGATCTACAGTTGTTAACCTTTCAATGGTGCTGGTATGCACTCTTTAATCTGGACCCACAGTTGTTAACCTTTCAATGGTGTTGGTCTGCACTCCTTTATCTGGATCCACAGATGTTAACCTTTCAATGGTGCTGGTATGCACTCCATTATCTGGATCTACAGTTGTTAACCTTTCAATGGTGCTGGTATGCACTCCTTTATCTGGATCCACAGATGTTAACCTTTCAATGATGCTGGTATGCATTCCTTTATCTGAATCCACAGTTGTTAACCTTTCAATGGTGCTGGTCTGCACTCCTTTATCTGGATCCATAGATGTTAACCTTCCAATGGTGCTGGTATGCACTCCTTTATCTGGATCTACAGTTGTTAACCTTTCAATGGTGTTGGTATGCACTCCTTTATCTGGATCTACAGTTGTTAACCTTTCAATGGTGCTGGTCTGCATCTTTTATCTGGATCTACAGTTGTTAACCTTTTAATGGTGCTGGTTTGCACTCCTTTATCTGGATCCACAGATGTTAACCTTTCAATGGTGCTGGTATGCACTCTTTTATCTGGATCAACAGTTGTTAACCTTTCAATGGTGCTGGTATGCACTCCTTTATCTGGATCTAGTTGTTAACCTTTCAATGGTGCTGGTTTGCACTCCTTTATTTGGATCTACAGTTGTTAACCTTTCAATGGTGCTGGTCTGCACTCTTTTATCTGGATCCATAGTTGTCAACCTTTCAATGGTGCTGGTATGCACTCCTTTATCTGGATCCACAGATGTTAACCTTTCAATGGTGCTGGTATGCACTCCTTTATCTGGATTCACAGTTGCTAACCTTTCAATGGTGCTGGTCTGCACTCCTTTATCTAGATCCACAGAATACAGTTGTTAACCTTTCAATGGTGCTGGTATGCACTCCTTTATCTGGATCTAGTTGTTAACCTTTCAATGGTGCTGGTTTGTACTCCTTTATCTGGATCTACAGTTGTCAACCTTTCAATGGTGCTGGTATGCACTCTTTAATCTGGATCCACAGTTGTTAACCTTTCAATTGTGCTGGTCTGCACTCCTTTATCTGGATCCACATTTGTTAACCTTTCAATGGTGCTGGTATGCACTCTTTTATCTGGATCTACAGTTGTTAACCTTTCAATGGTGCTGGTATGCACTCCTTTATCTGGATCCACAGATGTTAACCTTTCAATGATGCTGGTATGCATTCCTTTATCTGAATCCACAGTTGTTAACCTTTCAATGGTGCTGGTATGCACTCCTTTATCTGGATCCATAGATGTTAACCTTCCAATGGTGCTGGTATGCACTCTTTTATCTGGATCTACAGTTGTTAACTTTTCAATGGTGCTGGTATGCACTCTTTTATCTGGATCTACAGTTGTTAACCTTTTAATGGTGCTGGTTTGCACTCCTTTATCTGGATCCACAGATGTTAACCTTTCAATGGTGCTGGTATGCACTCCTTTATCTGGATCAACAGTTGTTAACCTTTCAATGGTGCTGGTATGCACTCCTTTATCTGGATCTAGTTGTTAACCTTTCAATGGTGCTGGTCTGCACTCCTTTATTTGGATCTACAGTTGTTAACCTTTCAATGGTGCTGGTATGCACTCTTTAATCTGGATCCACAGTTGTTAACCTTTCAATGGTGCTGGTATGCACTCCTTTATCTGGATCCACATTTGTTAACCTTTCAATGGTGCTGGTATGCACTCCTTTATCTGGATCAACATTTGTTAACCTGTCAATGGTGCTGTATGCATTCTTTTATCTGGATCTACAGTTGTCAACCTTTCAATGGTGCGGGTATGCACTCCTTTATCTGGATCTACAGTTGTTAACCTTTCAATGGTGCTGGTATGCACTCCTTTATCTGGATCCACAGATGTTAACATTTCAATGAAGCTGGTATGCATTCCTTTATCTGAATCCACAGTTGTTAACCTTTCAATGGTGCTGGTCTGCACTCCTTTATCTGGATCCACAGATGTTAACCTTCCAATGGTGCTGGTATGCACTCCTTTATCTGGATCTACAGTTGTTAACCTTTCAATGGTACTGGTATGCACTCTTTTATCTGGATCTACAGTTGTTAACCTTTCAATGGTGCTGGTCTGCAATTTTTTATCTGGATCCACAGTTGTTAACCTTTCAATGATGCTGGTATGCACTCCTGTATCTTGATCTACAGAATACAGTTTTTAACCTTTCAATGGTGCTGGTCTGCACTCCTTTATCTAGATCCACAGAATACAGTTGTTAACCCCTCAATGGTGCTGGTATGCACTCCTTTATCTGGATCTACAGTTGTTAACCTTTCAATGGTGCTGGTCTGCAATCTTTTATCTGGATCCACAGTTGTTAACCTTTCAATGGTGCTGGTATGCACTCCTCTTTCTGGATCCACATTTGTTAACCTTTCAATGGTGCTGGTATGCACTCTTTTATCTGGATCCACAGTTGTTAACCTTTCAATGGTGCTGGTATGCACTCCTTTATCTGGATCCACATTTTTAACCTTTCAATGGTGCTGGTTTGCACTCTTTTATCTGGATCAACAGTTGTTAACCTTTCAATGGTGCTGGTATGCACTTCTTTATCTGGATCCACATTTGTTAACCTTTCAATGGTGCTGGTATGCACTCTTTTATCTGGATCAACAGTTGTTAACCTTTCAATGGTGCTGTTATGCACTCCTTTATCTGGATCCACAGCTGTTAACCTTTTAATGGTGCTGGTCTGCACTCCTTTATCTGGATCCAAAGATGTTAACCTTTCAATGGTGCTGGTCTGCACTCCTTTATCTGGATCCACAGATGTTAACCTTTCAATGGTGCTGGTATGCACTCCTTTATCTGGATCTACAGTTGTTAACCTTTCAATGGTGCTGGCATGCACTGTTTAATCTGGATCCATAGTTGTTAACCTTTCAATGGTGCTGGTTTGCACTCCTTGTGCTGGTATGCACTCCTTTATCTGGATCCATAGATGTTAACCTTCCAATGGTGCTGGTCTGCACTCCTTTATCTGGATCCATAGATGTTTACCTTCCAATGGTGCTGGTATGCACTCCTTTATCTGGATCTACAGTTGTTAACCTTTCAATGGTGCTGGTATGCACTCCTTTATCTGCATCTACAGTTGTTAACCTTTCAATGGTGCTGGTCTGCACTCTTTTATCTGGATCTACAGTTGTTAACCTTTTAATGGTGCTGGTTTGCACTCCTTTATCTGGATCCACAGATGTTAACCTTTCAATGGTGCTGGTATGCACTCCTTTATCTGGATCAACAGTTGTTAACCTTTCAATGGTGCTGGTATGCACTCCTTTATCTGGATCTAGTTGTTAACCTTTCAATGGTGCTGGTTTGCACTCCTTTATCTGGATCTACAGTTGTTAACCTTTCAATGGTGCTGGTATGCACTCTTTAATCTTGAATCTACAGTTGTTAACCTTTCAATGGTGCTGGTATGCACTCCTTTATCTGGATCCACATTTGTTAACCTTTCAATGGTGCTGGTATGCACTCTTTTAACTGGATCCACAGTTGTTAACCTTTCAATGGTGCTGGTATGCACTCCTTTATCTGGATCAACATTTGTTAACCTTTCAATGGTGCTGGTATGCATTCTTTTATCTGGATCTACAGTTGTTAACCTTTCAATGGTGCTGGTATGCACTCCTTTATCTGGATCTACAGTTGTTAACCTTTCAATGGTACTGGTTTGCACTCTTTTATCTGGATCCATAGTTGTCAACCTTTCAATGGTGCTGGTCTGCACTCCTTTATCTGGATCCACAGATGTTAACCTTTCAATGATGCTGGTATGCACTCCTGTATCTGGATTCACAGTTGTTAACCTTTCAATGGTGCTGGTCTGCACTCCTTTATCTGGATCTACATTTGTTAAACTTTCAATGGTGCTGGTATGCACTCCTTTATCTGGATCCACAGCTGTTAACCTTTCAATGGTGCTGGTATGCACTCTTTTATCTGGATCCACAGTTGTAAAACCTTTCAATACTCAAATCTTCTTTGATCTAAACAATTATATCCTTTCCAAGAGTCACTGATTAATGTTGATCAAGATATATGTTTTAATTAATTAATTTCAATAGTTTTTCTTTATTCCTATTTTGAACTGTGACATGTTAAGTTTGTGATCAAATATATTATACTTTTTTATAATAACTGTGAGATATTTTCCAAATCTTGTCTTTTTATATAAATCACTATTAGATCCTGTTATGAAGTTGATTTAAGCAGAATTGAACTGTTTTTCAATGGGAAAGAGTCACAGCAACATTAAACAAGTTTGTATTCTCAATTTTTTTATTTTTTTTTAAATTTATGAGAATAATATCATTAAAACTGATGTTGATGGTATTAGATATTTAGAATTAGTCAGTAATCAAATGCATTTTTATACTTTTAGGGCCAGTTTTATTAGATGAATTTGTTGAATGGATGAAAGAACACAGAATGGTTAGCTGAAACAGTGAACTGTAAAATCCAGGAGCTTCCATTAATTGGTCACATGGTAATCACATGATCCCCATGTGATGGGCAGAAAATTACAATAACATATGGAAGATTTGTGTCTTAAAACTTAGCCATATAGAAGGAGTAGAAAAATATATTTAACAACAAATATTTATTACATTATTATTATATTATCTTGATCTTACCAACATATGCAAACTTTCTTACAAATCAAAAAAAAATCAGATCCTCAATTATTTTACTGGTATTTCAACATTCTTTGTGTACATACATAATGATAGACGAATTACTTTTATCCATTTATAAGAAACAGAGGCTATATTGTGATACTGTTAATGAATGAAAGAATAAGGAAAGATTATATCCTGAAAACAATGACAAACTTATGAAACAATGTACGTTAATGGTATGTAGATGTTTCCTGGTTTATAATATGTGTTATGTAATATACTCCCAAAATTGTAAACTAAGTATATTTTAGTGAACGCTGACCTCTGATGTTAATTCTTGTTTCCATCCAGTGTTTTTTAATTACAATTATTTTAAGGCTGTTTTAAAGACAAATGGGAAATCAGAGTGTCAAAAAGGAAACTAAATGACAGATTTGGATAGACCATAACTAAGTAATTTTGTAGATATATCGCTTATACATAGAAGCCAGTTTAATATCTTAGTTTTATTGAGCATTGATATGTTCAAAAAGTGTTAAAACATGAATTTATTGATGTATATGAAAGTTTGTATATGCCAGAAAGATTTGAACTGTTATGATTTACATGTTGATGAATGAAAGTTGTAAAACATTCATATTAGAAAATAACTTATTTATATAGTGCTACTCAGTATTGTATATAAACATGCAGTTATGTGTTCTTGTATGCAATTTGCAAATATGTTAAGATATGTCAAAACAATTTTTTGTATTTTTACATGCATTATAATTACTCTTTCCTTTTTCAGATGCATATTTTTTGCTTCTTCTCAATATGATTTCTGTTCAAAAATATGCATTTATTTGAAATTCTTAGCTTCCTTGATAATGGTCCGTTTTAAGTACCAGATTACTAATTGTATAAATAATGTCTTGTGATGCAGAACTGCTACTCATAATCTTACTAAGGTTAAGACAAGTATCACCTGTAGTTAGGTGCTATTATTTTGTGTGGTATGAACATATGTTATACACAAGGAAGACACTCAGAAAATGGTCTATTCACATATGGAGAAAAAAAATATTTTCGTGTACAATGTATGTAGTTTTACACATCTGCATTAAAATGAATATCTGAGTGTCTTTCTTAGATGCCATGTTTGATAGTAACTTATAAATAGTGTTTTTTAACTTCCATGTATTAAAAACTGCTACCTGTTTATATCTCTTTCTGTGTATTTTTTGGGAGGATTTCCTAATTGTTAATGTTATGTGTATTTATTTGTTTTCCATTCATGTATGTGCTAGATGTTACTCTGTCCAAAGTTATTGTGTTTAAGAAGATGAAAAAAGTACCTGTCAGTGAATTTAAACTGTTATACTAAGTTAAAAAAAATCTCTTTCCTACAAATTTAAATTCATGGTTCATGGAATTATAATTTATTTGAAAGTATTTCTGACTCCTAATTAACTTGAAAATTCGCCTTCTCAGAATCTAATATATTCTGTATAATATTCTCAAAAGTGAACACCAAAACGTTGTGATTGGTTAAACACATCTAAACAATGGAAATTCAACCAATGATGTGACATATTTTCAATTTTGGGTACGAACAATTGAAATACCCACAATCCTCTAGATTCTGAAACGGCCAAAATTCAGAAGATATGCAGCTTTATATTAAAAACTTACTTTCAATCTTACTCATAATTAAAGAATAATGTCTATTGTGCCCCTTTATATATTAGTTACATACAATTTCATTTACTTCCTTCAAGGGGTGTAACAAATAACATGAAGAATACTGGTGAATTGGAAACACATTTGGAAATAAATACAAGTTTTCTGAATATGAAGCTTTAAAAATACTGTAAATTTCTGAAATTATTGAGAGGTTTTTATTAATGCGAATAATGCGACATGGCGAGTATCACAATAATAAGAACTCGCATTCTAACATCTGAGACATATAATGTATTCAGCTTTTCCGGAAATCGCAATAATTAATCTCGCATTTGTGATAATTATTCCAAAATAGCAATAATAAATGCACGCAATAATTTCTGAATTTACAGTATCAATATCTATGTGGCTGAGAAATGATACATATGACCTTAAATATTTGAATAATTGTTTTTAATGATAAGATAAGTTATTAAATTCATTCAATATTGGTTGGAAAAAGTACTGGAGGCATTATTCATACACTACTATCAAGTATTCCTATATTATTCACAATTTGCACAGTATGTATAAGGTCCTTGTGACCTCATTTGATTTAATAAAATATTATTATTTAATATAAAACTGGCAGATTTATAGGTAAAAACTTAAAAAATGCCAGTCCATTTATTCATTAATATCATCAAATCTATGTTTAATTTATTCATGAACTTGTGGCATATATACAAATAAAAAAAGATGTCACGAACAATAAATAAATAACTTATTTATAATAAATTAGAGGTAATATAAGCTCGGTATATAATAACTTAATTTAAGTGTATGAGAAAATATCAGTCGTTTAATTCAGTTTGTTGAACTACGTAGTTGCGAAAATTGAGATTAACCCCATTTAATTCTTTGAGGTAAATTTTCTTTTTGAAGTAGCAAGATTTTTGTAAATATAATTCACCAATATTTCCCATGTACATGTGTGTGACGAGATAACAGATATCTCATGCGAAAAGTGTGTTTTAAAATGAATGTTAAACATGTGTATTGTTTTTATTTGAATACATAGTATATGTATGAATATGTTATGAATACTGTGGTTATGTGTGTGTGTGTGTGTTTGAATGTCATTTTAGTGCTGTTCCTCGTCCTGTGATGATTTTTATAAAGGTATATATAGTGGGTACATACAAATTTGACATGTTTGTTCATTATTTTTTTTTTTACATTTTTTTTCTCACTCCAGACATTATGTAGACTGCATGGCTGATGTAGGTTTTCACTGTTGGATGCTTTTTGCTTCTTTAAGCGATGACCTAAATATCCCATATTTGCGATCTTCCATCTTTATGTTTACTTCGTAGGATTTTTTAACAGCATCATTGTAATTAGACTGACAATTCATTTAAAGTAAAGTTTTTTCCAATATCATTTGAAACTGATAAACAGTTATCAGAGATTTTCTTATCTTGCACCGTAAAAGGTCAGTGGAAAAAAACAATGGCAGTGTCAATAATCATGTTATATTATTTTCTTTGCAACAACTTTATTTTTGAGACCAAACTTAACTTTAAACTTTTAACAAAGTTGGGTAATGTAAAATTTAATCAACAGTACTAGTGCTAAATTTGTGTATATACTGTTAAAATTGTCTGCTGTCATATATTAATTTAATGTTTAAAATACATGAATATGATATCATTAAATTTATCTTTACTGCCAATTTTTGCTTCTCCATGCATTCCCAGGAAATATAATCAAGACTCAGAAAAGTATGTTTGTATATTATCAACTGTCTTCAACATTTTTGTAGAGACAGTCTTTCGTTTAAACTCATTTATATGCCATGATATGTCTTGTACATGATTATTTATATGATATTTGTGGATTTTTATGAAAATTGTAATGTATTCTACAGAAATGAATGGAGTAAAAGTTATAAAAGTAAACGTTGGTGTGTACTTACTTAAAGTTTCGTTATACAATTTACATGTGGAACTTTTCAGAATGTGTTCTAAGATTAATGTATATTCGAGGAATTTCATGTTATTGAGAAATGTTTATTTATATAAAGGTAGGTTACCTTAAAAGGTTTGTGCTAGATGGATGAAAAGACATTTTTGTGAAAGGATTTGAATATAAATGTATTGTATACATTGCTTATTCAGGTTTATAATGATAATGAATGTGTATCAATGTACAGAATTTCATGAAGGTCACTACCAATAAAATAATACTGTAAATTCAGAAATTATTGTGAGGTTTTTAATAATGCAAATAATTCGACTGAATTATCCCAATATTAAGAACTCACATTCTTATAATCGCAATAATTAATCGCACATTTTAGTCCATTCTACAAAATAAGCAGTAATAAATGCATGCAATAATTTTCGAATTTACAGTATTGCTTTCTGACATTATTAAATGAGACTATATCTTTTAATATTCTAATGAATCATTGAAAAAAAACTGCCATAGGGTATGTTTTTTTTTATACGTTCTCCGTATTTAAATATTAAAAAAAATGCCAGCAGTTTAAAGCAAAATTGTTCAGGGCTATCTTATTAAAATGAAAGTTGAAAGGTAGGAAGGGTAAATTATTGGTCATAGATCAATTGGTTGTATGTCCATAACAAGGATTATTTTGCCTTAAAAACAAAATCTGATTTTTAGATTCACACAAATGTTAAGAACTATCACATCCTCGTTCAACTATTAAAATAATAAAGCATAGATTTCCTGTGTATTATCAGGATTCATATGAATGAAGTCTCATTTTAGACAACAAATTATATTGATACTTAATCACACTCACTGTTGATCTCCCTTAAAAAGGTTATGGTTGCTGCCTTATTGATTGTTATCCTACATCTCCTTTTATTCAATTTTAAAACATGGATAATTCCATAAAGAATAAGTTTGTGCAAAAATTTAAATTCCAAACCGTGCTTTTTAAATGTTTTGGTACACTCATTTAATACCAAGATATATAGGTGTCTTTCTAAAAAGTAACAATGTTTTAATCTAATGCATTCAACAAAAAGGTCAAAATTTCTTACTATTGCAGAGTTTTGTTTATAGAATGAAAACTAGAAAATTAATATAAAGTTGAAATTTCTTTGATACCTTAGATTTGTGACATAAAAATTTTTAATGATAAAATAAATTATTTAAATTTGTCCATTTCTTATTATCTGGTGTATCAATAGCACATATAAGATTATTTCAATGGACTTTCTGGTTAACCAAATATGGAGTATACAAATATCATAGGCATTAACACAATTTATAATGTAAAAAATGGTTAAGATAATATAAAAAAGAACCAAAAATATATTCAAAGCCTCATTTATATCAATAGGTAACAAGGGGAAATAATCCTAATGATAGAAGATTCTGTGAAATTATTTGCTGTTTATTTAAGTACCATAATGTTTTAACATATTATTAAGATGTTGACGTTTTATTTAAGGTGCTGTTATCATTTCTTTATCATCAAGAGAAATAAATAAACTAATTGAATAAACCAAAATAGTTTTTATTTTGTAAGTATTTGGTTCAAAAAGTCCAGAGTAATGTATTTTTATTGCTATGCGTCCAATTGTCTTTGTGTCATCTAACCATTGGTGTACAAAGTTCAAAAAGAAAAAATGCATGAATTAGTCCTAAGAACTACCTTATGAAGTCCACTAAAATATAATGATTCATAGGTAATTGGGTATTTTTGACAACTTCAGTCAAC